CTGCCCGCCGGTGTTTTTGCCGCCACTGCCTGTCCTGCTTAGCAGCTGACTCAGCCAGTGTGCATAGGAATTTGTTCATAGTTTTTTTTAAACTATAATCCGGCCCTCCAACGGTCTGAAGGACAGTGAACTGGCCCCCTGTTTAAAAAGTTTGAGGACCCCTGTCTTAACTAAAGAAGCTAGCTACCCATATATTTAACATTTTAAAATGAAAGGAAATTAAAAATTGAGACTTCATTTTATATTATTTGTATATTAAAATTACTGTTTTGAAACTTTATATTAATTCCTTCATATTGAGTATTGTTATATGATCGTGGCCTTTCTCACATTTAGTTCCATTGGCTATATAATTATTATTATTTTAAATGTTAGCACCACCTCTCAGATCCTTGCTATCTAGCAATAAGATACCCTAGACCCATCGTAAATGGTTCCTCCATCAAGACTTTGCCTCATTCTGAGAAGCCTTCCTTTCTCTCAGTGAATAGTATTAGATACTAAAATCTAGGCACTAGGATTTGCAAATATGAGGTTAAGTCAAAAAGTATTGTTATAAAGTCATAGAAACCTTTATTAAATAAAACTGAAATGGGAAACTATAGCTTCCTGACCTATCCTTCCTTGAGGTCTGAACACGTCTGAAGGCGGTGTCTGCATCTTTTTAACCCTTCCACGGAGAGTTCCGCGCTCTGTGATGTGCCCCAGGTCAACCAGCAGTGATGGCATCCCCAACGGGCTCAAATTATGTTACTTTGAAATGTTCTTTGAGGTTTGGGAACCAAAAAAATATCTGAAGGGACAAGACCAGGCTTGTAGGGCGGATTGGGTAATGTTTTCCAATGAAATTCCACTAGACAACCCTTGCTAGCCTCTAAGCATGAAGAGGTGCATTGTCATGATGGAAAACTAAATCCGTGGGGCAACTTTGTTGGCACTTTTCTCACCTGTGTAGTTTTCGGTTTTCCTAAAACTTCTTCCTGATAAGCCTTTGTGACTGTTCGGTTGCCTGTATGTTTCAAGGAAACCCATCAAGATTGCCACGTGGCCTGCCCCAAACAGTTTGCACAACCTCCTGGGTTGAGTCTCTGCCTTGAAGTTGGCTGAACTGGCAGATCCCTTTGGAAACTACTATTTTGATTGGACCCATTTTTGAAGGCACCTTATAAGTCTAAGACAAGTGTACTACTGAGAGAATGTTTGCAGCCATCCACATGGTAGAGACATGTTAAAATATGTTTTCTTTGGAATAAACCCAGGCACGTGTAAACTGGAATCTTAGTAGCAATATTTTTTTTACTTCCCTTCTCATAAATGTTGATAGAAGCAATAATTTTCTATTGCTCCTATCTGGACACCTGTTATAATAGCTTTGGGAAATATGTGTTTCTTTTAAAGATAATGGGTTTGTATTTATTTGTGTTAGTCTGAGTACAGTAGAGAAACAAATCCACAGAAACTCATGTGTAAGAGAGAGTTTTATATAAAGTTAAGTGCACATCAAGAAAACATCCCAACCCAGTGCTGCCCAAGCCCACAAGTCCAGCCCATATGTCCAACCCGTATGTCCAACGCCATTCCACAAAGTTCTCCATCTCACAAAACA